AGGTTGAGAACAACTGGTCTAGAGAGTCACACATATTTTATTTTCTGAAGAGAAAGGAGCCAGTGTGTGGGGTGAGAGGCTGCAAGGAGAGAATTAAGCCATGAAATGAGAAACATTCCCTCTGCCATAGTTTCCCAATTTTTGAATTGCAGCAGTGTGGCCATCACAAGGCAGCCCTTTGTGAGTCATGGGTGCTAAGTAATTCTGTTTAATGTCTTTCCTGGGTTCTCCTTTCAATGTGCCTTTTTTTTTTTTTGTAAAAATCAGGCAAAGACGGGGTGTTTGACCCACACAGACATGCATGCCCCAGAAAGTAAAACCCGCAGCTACCTGTGTACTCCTCTTGAAGGGAGCAGGGATTGTCTTACCCAATCTTCCACGGAACTGTCTGCTAGGGGTTAATTGTTTTCCGGTGATGTCAGCCCTGGTTTTCCGGGAGGCAGTTAACCACATGTCCAGGTACGGTTTGTCCTGTCTGCAGCAGTCAGGCAGTGATGGGGGAGGAGAATGCTCAACAGTCTCTCTCTCAGCAGATTGTTGCTGTGGCAATCAACTGGGGAGGTGGGGTCACTGATTATCATTTTTTTTCTGCCTTTTCTACTTCATAACAACTGCCAATCATGTTCTCATATCCTCCAAAATAGAAAGTTGTTCAAATTACCTAATGGTCCAAATTCCTAACTAACCTCAGGAAAAGAAGAGAATATTCGGAGTTCAACGAAGTCTATGGCTAATAAGACTCAGTGGATAAAGGCGATTGCTTTGCAAGCCTAGCAACTGGAATTTGATCCCTGGAACCCATATAAAGGTGGAAGGAGAGAACAAATGAAGTTGTCCTCTCATCTGTAAACATGTATTGGGGCATATACACCATATATACAATAACAAAAGTAATAATAATGATAATAATAATAATTTAATAAATAAGGCTGGAGTGATGGTTTAACAGTTAAGTACTGAGTTCAGCTCCCAGCATACATATGGCAGCTTGAACCATTCGTGACTCCAGATGCTAAATTTCAGGGGATTTGACACCTTCTTCTGACTTCCTCAGGTACACACACACACACACACACATACACACACACACACATATATGCAAACAATGAATTCAAATAGATAAAATTAAATCTTGAAACGAAAACAAATATAAATTTGATTAGGAAAAGAGTAGGACTGATCCAGCAACCTGGACTGGAGTGGGCCTGGGATGGTGAACTCCAGGGGAACAGGAGCAGATCCAGACCAAGGACATTTGCAGAGGCAGGACTGAGCCAGAGACCTGGGCTGGAGTAGACCTGAGACAGCAAACTCCACAAGAGCAGGTACAGGGGAGCAACTGTCGAGCAAGCTAGTGGGCCAGAGCCAGAGACCTCTGTGGGTCCGGGCGTGAATCTGGGACCTTTGAGGGAGTAGACCTGAGCCAGAACCCCTGTAGGTCTGGGAATGATTCTGGGACCTCTGAGGGAGTAGGAGCTCTGTGGGTCACAGCGTTGGTCTGGAACCTTCAAGGGAGTAGGCAGGGACCAGAAACCACTGCGGGTCAGGCATGACTCCGGGACCTCTGAGTGGTTAGGCTTTAGCCAGGTCCTCTGCGGGTCCAGGCACACCCGAGTCTGGGACCTCTAAGGGAAAAGATCAGAGCCAGAGACTTTTGCAGGACCAAACCCAAACCAGGGACCTCTGCAGGAGCAGATCCAGACCAGGGACATTTACAGAAACAGGTCTGAGCCAGCAACATGGACCAGAGCAGGCCTGGGACAGCAAACTCCATGGGAGCAGAGCAAACACCAGGAGTGCTGAACAACCTGCAGGAACATGAAGTGACCAATGGGTAACTAGAACCATGGCTCTGACTACAGTGCCAGGAGGAACAACCATCTGAGCCTTGGCTCCACTGGCACCTAGAAGATTAATCCCCAGAGTCACAGATGGCCCCAACCACACCAATTAGAGGAAAAGATGAGTAGACAAGGTAAGAACGCATGCAACACCACAAAGAACAACACGACACCAGTAAAATCTAGAGACTCTACAACAGCAAGACTTGAACAACCAAATAAAGATGAAGCAGAAGAAAATGACTTAAAAAATAACTTCAGGAGAATGCTTGATACTCTTAAAGAGGAAATGAGAAATTCCCTCAAAGAAATGAAGGAAAAGACAAAATATTGGAAGACATAAGCTAATCTCTTAAAGAAAACTAAAAAAAAAAGCAATCAAACATATGAAACTATTTAAGACTTGAAAATTAAAATAGAGACAATAAAGAAAATACAAACTGAGGGAATTATAGAAACAGAAATCATGAGAAAATGATCAGGAACCACAAATGCAAACTTAAACAGTAGAATAAAAGAGATGGAAGAAAGAATTTCAAGTGCTGAAGATACAATAGAGGAAATAGACTCATCAGTCAAAGAAAACATTAAATCTAACAAAAACTTAACACCTATCCAGGAAATGTGGGACACCATGAATATATCAAACCTAAGAATAATAAGTATGGAAAAAGGAAAAGAAGTTTAACTCAAAAGCACAAAAAATATATTTAACAAAGTCATAGAAGAAAACTTTCCCTACCTAAAGAAAGATATTCCTATGAAGATACAAGAAGCATAGAGAACACCAAACAGACTGGATAAAAAAAAAAGTCCCCTTGCCACATAATAATCAATAATGTAAACATACAGAATAAAGAAAGAATATTAAGAGCTGCAAAGGAAAAAGGCCAGGTAACATAAAGGCAGACCTATGAGAATTACACCTGACTTCTCATTGGAGACAACGAAAGCCAGAAGATCATGGTCAAGTGTTATGCAGACATTAAGAGACTACGGATGCTATCCCAGACTACTATATTCAGCAAAACTTTCAATCACTATAGAAGAACAAAACAAGATATTCCATGACAAATCTAGATTTCACCAATACCTAGCCACAAACCCAGCCCTACACAAAGTACTAGAAGGAAAACTCCAACCCAACGAAGTTGGCTACATCAACAAAAACAGGCAATTGATGATCTCACAGCAGCAAATCCCAAATAAGGGGATAACACACAAATTAACATCACCAACAATGAAAACTAAATTAATAGGAGATAGCAATCACTGGTCATTAATATCCCTTAATGTAAATGGACTCAACTCACCTATAAAAAGACACAGGCTAAGAGATTGGATATGAAAACAAAATCCATCCTTCTGTTGCATACAAGAAACACACCTCAACCTCAAAGACAAACATTGCCTCAGAGTAAAGGGTTGGAGAAAAAATTCCAATCAAATAGACCTAAGAAACCAGCTGGTGTAGCTATCCTAATATCTAACAAAATAGAGTTCAAACTAAAATCAATCAAATGAGAAAAAGGACATTTCATATTAGCCACAGGAAGAATCCATCAAGAGGAAATCTCAATACTGAACATTATGCTCCAAATACAAGGGCACCCTTGACCATATACTCAGTAACAAAACAAACTCAACAGATACAAAAAAATTGGAATAACCCCATGTATCTTATCAGATCATCATGGCTTAAAACTAGAATTCAACAGCAATACTACTTCCAGAAAGTCCACAAACACATGGAAATTAAGCAATGCTCACCTGAATCATCAATGGGTCAAGAAAGAAATAAAGGGACAGATTAAAGACTTTCTGAAATTCAATGAAAATGAACACACAATATATATACTCAAATTTATGGGTTGCAGTGAATGCAATGTTAAGACACATATTACAAGGATTTTAAATATTTGGAGAAAGAAATTGAAGAAGACACCAGAAAGTGGAAAGATCTCCCATGCTCTTCAGTAGGTAGAATTAACATAGTAAAAATGACAACCTTATCAAAAGCAATCTACAGATTCAATGCAATTTTGCCCATCAAAATCCCAACAAAATTCTTTATACACCTTGAAAGAACAATACTCAACTTCAAATGGAAAAGCAAAAAACCCAGGATAGCCAAAACAATTCTGCACCATAAAAGAAATTCTGGCGGCATCACAATCCCCGACTTCAAACTCTACTACAGAGCTACAGTACTAAAAACAGCCTGGTACTGGCCTAAAAATAGTCAGGAGGACCAATGGAACTGAATTGAATACTTGGATCTTAATCCACACACTTTCGAACACCTGATTTTTGACAAAGAAGAAAAAAATATCAAATGGAAGAAAGAAAGCGTATTGAACAAATGGTGCTGGCATAACTAGATATCAAAATGTAAAAGAATGAAAATAGATCCATATCTATCACCATGTACAAAACTCAAGTCCAAATGGATCAAAGACCTCAACATAAAGCCAGCCACACTGAACCTTGCAGAATAGAAAGTGGGAAGCATACTTGAACGCATTGGCACAGGAGACCATTTCCTAAATATAATCCCACTGAGAGAAACAATAAATGGGACCTCCTGAAACTGAAAAGCAAAGGACACAGTCAACAAGACAAAATGGCAGCTTACAGAATGGGAAAAGATAGTCACTAACAGAGGTCTGATCTCTAAAACAACCTTCCTCAAGACCCAGCCATACCACTTTTGTGTATATATCCAAAGGATGCTCAACTGTGCCATAAGGACATGTGCTCAACTATGTTCACAGCAGCTTTGTTTGTCATAGCCAGGGCCTGGAAACAACCTAAATGTCCTGCTACCAAAGAATGGATAAGGAAAATGTGGTCCATCTACACAATGGAGTACTACAGAGAAAAAAAAAAAAAAAGACTGCTTGAATTTTGTAGGCAAATGGATGAAGCTAGAAAACATCAGTCTGAGTGAGGTAACCCAGACCCAGAAAAACAATTATCACATGTACTCACTCATAAGTGGGTTTTAAACATAAAGCAAAGGAAACCAGCCTACTAATCACAATCCCCGAGAACCTAGACAACAATGAGTACTCTAAGAGAGACATACATAGATCTAATCTGCATGGGAAGAAAAAAGAAGACAAGATCTCCTGAGTAAATTGGGAGCATAGGGACCTTGGGAGGGGTTGAAGATGGGGAGGGAGGCAGGGAGGGGAGTAGAGAAAAATGTAGTGCTCAATAAAAATCAATAAAAAATTATTAGGAGTAGTTTTTCAATCTTTATTCATTTCCCTTGCTAATAGAAACACAGGGTTTAATGAAAAATTTAAATATGCAAATATATATTTTATTACATTTCCTTTGTGGGCAGAGTTTTTTTGTTTTGGGGGTTTTGTTCTTGTTTTTTTGTTTTGTGTGTTTGGGTTTTGTTGTTGTTGTTGTTTTTGTTGTTGTTGGTGGTGGTGGTGGTGTATGTGCACACACAGTAGTACACAGGTAGTGAGCAGAGAACATCTGTGAGACCAGTTTTTTCTTTCCACCATGTGATTCCTGGTGACCTGAACTCAGGTCACTAGCCTACCACTGAGCCATCTTCAGATTGCCTTTGTTCGTTATTCTGTTATATGAAAAAGATGAGTAACTGACACAGAAAATCAGTATCAGTAAGGGCGGTTATAAAGGGAGAATATGAATCTCAGCCTAGAAACAAGTGGTATCTTCTCCTTGTCCCTAAATAAATGAATTTTATTCTATTCTGTTGCATGTTCAGCCCTTCTCTGTCAATACAGAAAGAAAACAATGTACCCCTGGGGGTTCCGGGGTAGCACCGCATTCCCGTACTACCAAACACTGGAGTATGGAGGAGAGGAGAGTGGCTTCTGACGGCTGATGGAGTGGTTGTCCACACAGCGGCCTCTAAGATGCCCATCACCTTGTTTCTTCCATTACGCCCCTGGGTCCCCATAGCCACTCCATGTCCAGATCCTGTGTCCTGGTGTTCATTTGATGGTGTGTGGAAGAAGTACGTTGCTTCCTTTTTCTTCTCCCATGGTGAACACCTTCCTTCTTTATTCTTCCCACACAGTTAAGGTCTGGGCATCTTGGGACCCTTTGAGGAGGAAGTCAACCATCTGGCAGATAGGCAACTCCCATTCTCTCCCTCCAGACAACAAAGGCAAAGCTGCCATCTACTTGAATGAAGAAAGCATTTGTATTGGTATTATAAGTGCTAGCGTGGAGAAAGAAGGGAGAGAAATTCCAGGAGGAAACAATTAACAGCCAAGCGGTGGTCTGGCACATTCTCTCCCCAGTAACTCCTCGTAAGCAGACGATCTTCTCCATGCAGCCCTGGCCCTGGGCCTGCCTGGTCAGTAACAGAACAAAGGGCCAATTCTGTATTTCTCTCTCCAATGGGATTTGGTTGGAGTCCTCTTACTTAGGGAGGTCATTTCCCTAGCCTCCACCCCCACCCCAGACAGTAAGGAGCTGGGGTCCTTCTTGACTCTGTCACCTCCTGGAGATGATCCCACTTTCTGCTCTGGCTCCAGAGCTCAGGCAAGTGCCTGCTGAAAAGCTCCAAGGGTACTGTGACCAAAGGAAAGCCGAGGGATTCCTCCCTGAGTCCCGCAAAGCTCTCCTCTGTTTTTCATGCCCGCCTCCCCTTCGTTCACTAGACGGCATTTAGACGGCCCACCTTTCCTTCTCTCAGTCCCTCCATGCCCTCTTCTTCCCTAGGCCACTTCCAAGAGTCTTTCTGCAGAAGAGTTGTCCTTGACCATGAACCATCACTACCTCCATCCTCCCCATCACTGCCTTTATTTCCTTTGTAGCATGTGCCAAAAAATATTCAGTGACCTCATTTGGGCTTACCTGTTCATTTCCTTAATAACTCAGTCACAGTCAGGACCTGAACTTGATGGAGACCAGGACTCCATGCTGTGTTCATTCTGTATTCTTCCCCTCCAACCACATCTGCCCACGAGGCACTCGGTAAACAGCGTGAGCGGGTACAAGCATTGCAGGAAATTCTCCATTCATGTCATTCAAAGACAAGTGAACCCTGCTTTTACCTGAAGAAAACCCATTATTCCTATCTGAAAACCTAAGGAAATCACCAGGTTTGGGAATCAAAGACAATGAACGTAAAAGCAATTTCTATTCTTCATCTACAGAAAGCTTCAGCTCCATTGAAGAAAGGGAAATGCTTATTTTACTGAGAGATGAGTAGATGATTGGTTGGGGGTGGGTGCAAAATCAAGAAAACGGAAAGGGGAGATGGGAAACACAAGGCCAGAAGCCCAGGTTGTTTTTTTTTTTTTTTTTTACAAAAGGTTTTCCCTATACCTGGATGGAAGGTATTGCCGTGACTGCTGCCGGCCCTGTTGGTGTTTGACGAGGAAAGCTGCCTTCCACACAGAAAGAAGGTCTGGCAGCAGCTCAATTAGCAGACCAGCCTGGTTGCTGCTCTTGGACTCTTGTCTAAACAGGACCTGGCCTTCAGGCAACCACAGGGGCGGGGGTGTCTGCGGATGGCAGCCCAATCCTGCCAGACCAACGATGGGGGAGGACCCTGCTCCTTCTTAAGCCCCAGCCAGTCAAGCCAGGGCTAGAAAGCCAGCCAGACAGCCGCCCCTTGAAGTCTCCACCTGTCTTTACAGAGCCTGGGAAGAGGAGCCCAGCCCGCACTAAGCGCTTGGGAACAGAGACCAGCCTGGTCACCTCTGCCGCATCACCTACGACCTGCCAGCATGACCAACCAGCTGACTGAGGAGCAAATCGCTGAGTTCAAGGAGGCCTTCTCTCTGTTTGACAAGGATGGGGACGGCTGCATCACCACCCAGGAACTGGGCACTGTCATGCGGTCCCTGGGTCAGAACCCCACGGAGGCTGAGCTCCAGGGCATGGTGAATGAAATTGACAAGGATGGAAACGGCACTGTAGACTTCCCGGAGTTCCTGAGCATGATGTCCAGGAAGATGAAAGACACCGACAGCGAGGAGGAGATCCGGGAGGCCTTCCGGGTGTTCGACAAGGATGGCAACGGCTATGTCAGTGCTGCTGAGCTGAGGCATGTGATGACCAGGCTGGGGGAGAAGCTGAGTGACGAGGAGGTGGAGGAAATGATACGGGCAGCAGATACAGATGGCGATGGGCAAGTGAACTATGAGGAGTTTGTCCACATGCTCGTATCCAAGTGAGGCTGCGCCAGAGGCTGCGATAGCTAGGCGCCCATGAGGCTCCTAAGCTGCTTGCAAGTCAGTGGCTACCTTCACTGTGGTGAGAATCTTACCCAGGCCTTGGGTGTCTTTCCGTGTTTCCCAGCTTCCTCTGGGCTCTGTTGCGTCTCAGGCAAAGGGGACTTCATCCACCAGACTGCATTTTGCTTTCTTTTTTTTTCTGCCAGCTTCCTACCTGCTCACACCCCTTGACAGAGAAAGCCTCAGGCTGAGACAGGCATCAACTCCTCCCAGCCCTCAAGAGCTGACACGGACTGTCCCATCTCTGCATGGACAGTGAGCCAAAGGACCCACGCTTCTTTTTTTCTTTTTCTTTTCTTTCTGTTTCCAACAGAAATGATCATTAACTCCATGGCATAAACCAGGCTGGAATCTCCGTGTGTGTGTGTGTGTGTGTGTGTGTATGCGTGTGTGTGTATGCGTGTGTGTGTGTATGCGTGTGTGTGTATGCGTGTGTGTGTGTATGCGTGTGTGTGTGTATGCGTGTTTGTGTGTGTGTAGCAAAAATGAAGAGGTCTTCTTAAGCTAGTAGCATCTCAGAACCTCCTGGATAGGGTTCTACCAGGCACCCAATGCTTGGCATCAAGAAGGCCTGTAGCCTGCATCACAGTTCCTGGAGCATCTTAGACCAAAGACTTCATCTGCTGTTCAGTTTGGGAAACATCTGGGTATGGAATGAAAGGCAGTGATGGGACTTGGATGACTGAGGTCGGGCCATCCGGAAAACATCATTTCGCTTCGGTGAAGCTCTGGCTTGGTCCTTTTTGTCTCATGCAAACCTCTGTGGTTCTTTTTTTTTTCCCTAAGCTGGGGGTCAGTTGTAACACATTTGTATTCATCTAGAAGGAGAGAAATTTGAATGACACCTATGTTCCTATGTTGTTCCCTTTTGTGTTTCTAACTAAAACCCTGTTTCCTCCAACTATCATTTTTTGTTTGTTTTATTTTGTGTAAGTGCAATAAATCCCTGCATTGGTGCATAGAGAAAACGTTTGGATGCAGTAAGTCTCTCCCCGTAATGATCAAATTGGTAGCAAAGAACAAGTAGATATCTCAGTAAGGGGCTGGACATAGAGAGCTCTCTGATGGAATGTTTGCCTAACATCCATGAGGCTCTGGGTTCTCAAGCATCACATAAAATGGGCATGGTGGTACAAACCTGTGATGCCAGCGTTCAGGAGGTAGAGGTAGCCGAAGTTCAACGCTGTCCTTAGACGCCAACCTGTGCTGGAAACTCCAGCTTTAGGGAAAAAAAAGGAAATATATACAATGCTGCTAAAATGCCTGTGTCAATCACCGGAGAGAAGGATCTACAGCTCTTTACTCCTGCTTCCCCCCAGTCACTCTGAATGTTGTCAAGTATCTGGTAATGACAAGGTTGAGGAGGGTTCTAACTGCAAGATGACTTCAGCCAAGGTGCGAGAGCAGCTCAGAGACCGTTAGCCCTGTCCACACTGGCCATGCCCAGAGGTTGCACTGGCTCGTCCAGAGTCTGAGAGGCCTCCTCAATCAACATCTGAGTGCCAAGGGGACTGAAAGTTCAATGTTTTGTGAGGTGGACCCTAGATTGGGACTCCGCAAAAATGTTGATCTTTCATGGTCCCCATATCTCCCCTCCCCCGCCATTGATTTCTCATTTGTAAAATAGTGAGGGTGGGTTCTGGAGTCAGACAGCCTGGGGTTGCAGCCCTGCCCTTCTCTTATCTGCGTGGCTGGGCTCCTTTATGACACCAGGACCCCTGCACTCTCCTTGTTAAGTGAGAGGCACTGAGTCTGTATAGGAACTCGCTACCATTGGGTAGCCATGACGCTTTGTTTTTTCATCTTACAACTGAGGAACCTGAGGGCATGTCGTAGGCTTGACCTCCTTCTTGGCTGGGCATGACCCCTTTGCCTTCACTGTGATGACAAGAGTGGCCTTTCTCCACACTGCAAAGCGTTATAAGAATGGTATTTTCGTTATTCAGTACTGGTGAGTGAACCCAGGCTCTTATACATGCTAAGCAAGCACTATCACTGGGCTATATTCTCAGCCCATGAACACTATTTTTAAAATTTTTTATTTGTTAATTATTCTGTATTTATGATGTTTATAGAAGAATACAGGTGTCACAGTGCACACATGGAAGTCAGAGGACACTCTCATTCCCCCCAGAATGGAACCCAGGTTGTCAGACTACACAGCCAGTACTTAACTTGCTAAGCCATCTCATCAGCCCAAGAATAAAACCCATCATGGAGTAGGTCCCTACGTACGCATAGAGGCCCCTTGATAAATATATGTCCTGTTACTATCATAGCTAAGGGTCCCTTCTAGCACCAATAGTCAACAAGGCTTGATACCCGCAAAATACCCCCAGTATCAAAGGCAGAGATGAGGCCAAAAACAAAATAAAACAAAACCAAAAACGCACTTCCCGCTTTTTGTGCCAGCTCTAGTACCCGGATCATTGTTGATCCTCCCATCAGGAGAGCAGAAGAAAGTTTCGAACTGGGCTAACTAACCTCGGCTTTGCTAAAAGTCAGGCATGACTGGACATTTCCATTTGGGGATGAGTCTCAAAAGCACTAGGGACATGGAATCCAGAGATTACTGGATAGAAGCTCCCTGGAGTCGCTGAAACAGAAGAGCTGTGTCTGAGGTGTGGACATGGATCCCAGAGCCTCCCACCCAAAGAAAACATGCCCTGTAGGGGCGAACAGAACTTGGATCTCCAGTGATTCTGTCAGCTCTTTCCTAGATTCTGCAGGCAAGTGAGGAAGAGCGGTCTCCAGTGGTCGGTCTTTCTGTACCCTGTAGATAGCCTGGCTGGAGCACTGCCGTGGAATCTTAACATCCTGGGTTGTGAGTAATGTGAAGTACATACAAACACCAAGACCACCTCATGCCCCTGAGTTTAGCTAGGAGGGGCTCTTTTTATATTTCCGGGCCAGTTCCTGGCAATGCTGCTAAAGCAACCCTTCCATTTGTGATACACACACCACCCTGAAACTACGCATGCTTACATGTTTCAGGCCTCAGACCTTTCATGTAGAACTCCTTTGCCAGGGCAGGAACTGGCAGGTAAGATAGAAAGGCTTCTGCTTGCCCTTGGCCAAGAACTGACAGCCCCCCACCCCACCCCCCTAAGCTTCCCAGTAGGCGGTTCCCTTGCAAGCGGGGTGGTAATTAAAACTGGGTGGGGGGTTGTTCCTCCTGTCCTGGAAGCTCTGAGACATCAAGGTCAAAGTCAGTTAGCCCTGAGACAAGCTGACTGTGCCTGGTCCTGCCTCACTGGTATTTACTTTCCCAAATACAATGTACTAAAACTGGTTTTGCAGCCTCCTGTTCTGGAGACTCAGGGTTATTTAGCGGTAAGCACCTGCTGCTTGGGCATACGGCTGGCCCCTCTTTCCAACCCGTTGAGTTTAGGGTAAGAAATAGCATTGTATCTACATCTCCTAGGAGGATGTGATCAAGTTTACTCACTTCAGAAGAGCACCAAATGAAAGACCAATGAACAATTTCACCCAAGTCTGACTTGGTGAACCAATGAGGTTTTGGGGCTGATAGGAGCGTGGGTGAGGGATCACTTGAAGGAGCATGAGTGACCCCAAACTGTTCAGGCACATCTCTGAAGAGTTGCATCCCAGCATAGATAACCATTTCCCCAGAGCTGCTAAGATGGAGGCCCTCCTTCTTCTATGTACGCCAGCATCTCCTAGGACTATACGCAGTGCAGCAGAATTACATACAGTTAGGAGACTGATGGAAGGAAGAGTGGCTGAGATTTCAGATGAGGGTCTATTGACACTCCTACAAACACACACACACATGCACACACACGCGTGCGTGCACACACGCATGCACACACACACACACACACTTCTATGAGAGAACACCACCAGATGCAGTCTCGAAGGTTTCTTGCAGGCAGCAGTAGCTCCTGTGATCATCTTGATGGCTGTTACGCTCCAAGGCCTGGATTCCACAAGAAGCAGATACAAAGCCCAGGCTCCTGCTCTGATCTGTGCCTCACTGAAAGAGCTTTGATATCTGTGACTCCCCCGAACAGACTGGTGGATCCCAAGTCTCTTACCAGGCCTGGTAATGCCAATCTCTACAGCTAGGCATCAGCTACTCTGGCTCAGTTTACCCAGAACTATGTACCCAGAACACAGTAACCTTAGCATCTAGGGTACCCAAGGCATATCATCACCATTCTCCCCACTTCCATGGCTTCATCTTCTTTTTCCTTCTTCATCCCCACAGTGGCTAGAACCCCCAAGGAATCAATCCTGTCTAATTGCATATAGCAAAGGAGCAGGGGAGATGCTGTTTTGTTTAAGGAAAGAAGATAAAATAGTTATTTTTTTACTTATTTTACTACAGTATAATCACCATAATTGAGAGTAGAACTCCTACTGCTTACTGAGTAAAGTCAAAGTTTCTGGAGCAGCAGAAAGGAGCCACCAATTAGTCGTCAGTGTGTAAGGAGCAAGAAAGAGCTTGGTTTTGTTTTCTTCTTTGACAGACTCTGGAGCAGGTGCTGTACCTCCAACATCCCCTTTCCTTTCAGACATTGAATAATCAGATTTAAACAACCTTCCTTCATCCCCCCAAAAAAGGTGCTATCTAACTCCAGCTTGGCAGAACATTCCATCTATCTTTAGAGGAAGGAATTTATAAATATTACCTCTACTTTCATGTGCTTTCACTGAGCTCCCTCATAAATCAGGACTCGAGGCTCCCACACTCCCAGATATATAAAGCTCGCTTGTGACTGCTGGGTTTCCAATTTTAAATCAAACACAGGCCAGCCTCGCTGGCTCCTGTTTATCCTTACGGATTCCAGAGGCCAGTTCAAAGACACTGAGAACCAGCCGGCTAAAAATGGCCCACTGTTCCTGCTAGAGAAATATACCATGAAAACTCACATACTGGATGAAAGAGCTTTATATAGCATGAAGCAATGGGTGAAAATTATGTTTTGTTTGTTTGTTTGTTTTAAAGAAGGGGCAGAGAGGGTGGAGGGGGAGGTGGATACAGAAAAGAGAGGAGATGGACAAAATAAAACAATACAAAATGTACAACCGCTACTGGGAAAGGTATGGGACGCGGCCCACCTGTCGATCTCTCCATCACCTTGCTTTTCTTATGATTATTTCCAGGACAAGTCCTCAGCTAGGACTCTGAACTGGACAAGGGAAGGCAGGGGTGGACCATGGAGCCACGGCAGAAAGACTCCTCTAATCCACTCCCACAGTGAAGTTCATGTCTGGCCGGCAGGTGCTGGGTGTAGGATAGGCTAGCTCAGTCCCCTGCATGGGAGAGAGGGGGCCTTGACACAGACCTAGGAATGACGACAGAGCTTCCACATTCAGAAGATATAATATGGAAACAATCAATGTTACCTACACACCTTCACCAGATGCTTCGCTTCCTCCTAGAGCACTTAGCACCACCCAAGAGGATAAAGGAGCTGAGCATTATACACTTAAGTGTCTGAAAACTAAAGATCAGGTAGGCCCAGGATGTTTTTCCAGCTCAGGCTGCACACCAGAGCCGCTGATCTAGGGATGGGCCATGGAAATCCAACCACGTGTAGCCCTACGAGCCCACAGGAGACTCTCACCTTCCATAGCCACTAACCCAGCTGATTTAATTTATAGCACATGAAAAGCCCCCAAGACTCTGGTCCACAGTCTCCCAGGACAGAAGTGGCGCTTTCACTGGGCACGCTGACGCGAACCACTCACCACCACATCCTCAAAATAAGTTGATATGGCACTACTTTGATTCACTCTTTTTTAAAGAAGATTGAGACTTCAAGACTTGAAATAAGTTTCCGCAGCTTA